CCAGAAATTGGATAAATAAAGTCGAATTAATTCACAGTAATGGAAGAGGGAGGGGGAGGCACTTATTCAACCAGCTCTGATTACCATTCAGTATTCACCAGCACGCGGGTGGCTTTCTGTCAAGAAATTTAACACAAAATGAAGCAGTCACCGCCTCGGGCAAGATTTGGCCCCTGCGACACCGTTTACAATTTATATGTATAATCTTTCCCCCCTCTCTCTCTCTCTCTCTCTCTCTCTCTCTCTCTCTCTCTCTGTGTCTCTCTGTGTGTCTCTCCCTCCATCACTTCACCAAAGATGTCCACCTGGACACTACCCAGTTGCTCCTGGCCTCTGCCGTGATTGTAAATTTCAAAACCTTTTATTTTTCCACTTCCGCACTTCAATTCGAGCACCATTTCCCCCACATTAGACAAAACCCTTAACTTTATAGGACGACTTGAAATTTTAATTGCGATTATCTTCTCTCTCTTTTTTTTTTATCTCCACCCAACAGACACGTTACATGTTGTATTCAGTTTTTGCTAACAATGTCTTTGTTGCTGATTAAAAAAGGCTGTGGCAATAGGTGTAAGGTTTTAAACTTATTTTCTGGAGGAGAAACAAATTTCACTTTGTGGCGTTATTAATTCTTCTGTTCTGTTCTTAGCCACGACAGCAGCACAGCACTATAGCATGAGTCAGGGGTCAGCAACCTTTACTATCAAAGGAGCCATTTTTTTTTATCTGTCTGGAGCTGCAAAACATATTTGAGCCTTATAATGCTAATTTCTCGCCACACATCAAGCGTACCAATAAGCAGCAGTGTTGGTGGTGAAATGAATCCGTCCACCCACTTTTAAATTCACTATTTGGGATTTGGAATAGCTAGCCTAGCTAGGCAGAATCAAGACTAGTAGCCACTATTGATGTTCGGCAAAAAGGTGCCAAATATAACAAATTTTAATTGATGAAATGTTAAAATATTATATTACATATTTCAGTGTGTAATGGCTACACATTTAGATAATGTAAGTATCATTTTAGGCCTACAACAATGATAAATGAAAATGTGAAAAAAATAACCGTTATTAATTTCCATATAATGTTTTTACCAAAGCCACAGGAGAGGGGCTAAAGAGCAAGGTCAGCTGGTACTTTGGTCCAGACAGAATTATCAACGTCTACTTGCTGATGACTCAATGGCAAAACATTACATTACACAGACATGCATGGTCGATAGATTCTAATAGCTTGGTGATCACCTGCTTTTCCTTTAGTGACACCATGAGGTTGACATTTGAGTCAAATGTCTCGACAACTATTGGATGGATTGCCATGAAATTGATGTCCCCAACAGGATGATCCCTTACCTTTTCATCCAGCACCATCATCTGGTCAATGCTTTAGTTTATCACCAAATACTTTAAATGAATGACATTCCTCAGCTGTACTTTGTGTTTAGTGCTATTTAGCTAAAGACTCTAAACTAATATGGTGAACATGTTAAACATTATACCTGTCAAACATCAGCGTGCTTACATTCAGAGCTCATTCTCTGCCTGTTAGTGTGAAACATTAGCGTTTAGGTACAACCTCACAGAGCAGCGAGTGTGGCTCTGGACTAAAGAGAAGGGTCTTATGGGTAAACAAGACACAAACCAACCACAGAAAATGTTGTTGTCAGGGTTAAGGACTATCATTTGAAGGTGTATGGATACTAATGACATGTTTGTTTGCTACTTTAAAGGGAGGATTTAGTGGCATCTAGTGGTGTAGTTGCAGATTACAGACCCCTTGGCTCACCCACCAGTTCCAAGCAACATACGGTGCAACTATGGTGGCTGCAAAATTCAAGAAAAAAATGCAAAAGGCCCTGTCCAGAGCCAGTGTTTCTGGGTTACAGTACAAACATGGTGGACTCCATAGAAGCTCCCTCTGTAGATATAAACAGCTCATTCTAAGGCAACAAAAGCACAACAAATCTTAATTTCAGGTGATTATAGTAGTGAAAACATGCCTATGAATATTATATTCCATTTCTGCCAATAGATCCTCCTAAATGTTAACAAATGCTCTAAATGACATCTCTATTAACACGAGCGCACACTAATTTTCAGAGGAAATCTTAGTAAAAGTAAAACGATTTCACGACTGATATTGTTGTTACAAACCCTCTTAGAAGAACCCGTACAGTAACTAAGTTGACTATATAGTATCTTTGATGAAATGGCCTTCACAAGATAGAAATACACACAATCCAAACACTTTGACCCAACAACTCAAACTATTCAACGCAGTCTTTAAGGGATCTTCAAATTGGACCTGTTGGCTCTTACAGTCCCTTCAGGATTTTGCTGTTTTTTGTTGGGATTGTTGTGGCCTAAAATGCCTGACATGCAGCTTTTCTAAACTATTGTGATGCACGTTGCAGTGTCTTTAGGCATTTTATGGAATGAAATTGCAGGGAAAAGTGTACTTTGCATTGTATTTTATGTGTAATTCATTAAAAATCCAAAGTCAACGTGTGCCTTAAGTGTAATTTTGTACCCATTCTCAGAAATTATCATGTAGAATACTTCTTATTAGAGTGTCTATTTTAAGTCATATGTCCAAAAAAAGTCAGATTTCATGCTTGTTTTGCTTGGTGTACTGACCAACGAGCTGCACACAATGATTGGCTGCAACGTTTCTTAAACTCTACAGAGTGGAGCAATAATAGTAGTAGACTTAATACCACCGGGGTCCAGTTTTTCTATCACTATTATTAGCCACTGAGACCTTTTAAGGCTTTGTGTCCATTGTGTGGCTGATTTTATTCAAAGGAGATCATCATTCAAAGAAAAGGCACAACACTTAGAGGAGCACAAACCCGAGTTTAACTATCATTAACCTCAAGTGCCACTAATGTAGGAGAAAACTGAGAAAAGGCTCGGCTAACCATATAGCATCCATAAGATACACAACAGAAAAGTTTTAGTTGGACCTGTTTCTGTTTCCAATATCTGTCTTACACATCCATGTTTGACAGAATATGATCAATAGCATTAGTGAGCCCACTTCAACCTACAGTCCTGTAACAGAACACAGAGCTCATTACTAAAACAGGCATTTTAAAATAGAAATAAGAAGTTTTCTTGTAAATATATGTAATTCTAAACTGTTTGTGTAGTAAAGCTTTAACTGTATGTTTATTTTATGCAGTAATTGAAAAGACTGTGTGTAGATATGTGTAGAATCAATCAGTTTTTTCCAGGTACTGTGTGAATAAGTACATAATGTATACATAAATATATAATATTTTCACTATAATATAAATCATGGCAGAAGTACAGCAAATGAAAAGCAGTCATTGTGTGTTTTTTTTTCCTCTTAGAGATCAAACACTGCGCTGAGTATTGCACATGCAGGCTGTACACCTTCGATTTCACATTTTCAGGTTAAGTCTACTTAATTAAGTTGTTGTTTTTTTACTTGTTGATCTTTTATTCGTTCCATAATTTCTCAGAAAAGAACTACCTGATTGGATGTAAACATTGGCTGAATCACTTTTGTATCAAAAGCATAGTACAATATTTGTTCATCAGCATTAATACATTTATATATTGCTCATATTTTAAGTTTATTTCCATTGCTCTCTTCTTCTATCTGTTGGTGGAAGGAGAGGAACATTTTACTGAAATACCTGCTGAAATTCTCTCCCTGTTTGTTTTGGGGTCTGTGTTAGTTAATAACTAAGAGTTTTAGTCCCTGACCTTATAGAAACAGTAGATGACAGCAGATGACACAGCAATTTCACCTCAAGATCAATATATAGCTGTTGTTGATGAGCTTTCTATCATATCGCATGGTCTTCAGCAGGTGGAGGTAGAGCTCCAGTTGTCATGTGATATGAATGAAAGCTCAAGAACAGCTACTAAATGGACCTTGAGGTGAGACTGAACATCCTGTGTTACATTTAATAGCTTATAATTACATATTTTACAAGTTGTTGTGCTTATTGTCCTTTTTTTCTTGCCTCTTATTAGACTAATTAAACTTGAAAAGCATTTCAACACCTCAGATTGCTCAAGTTTTTTTTTTTTTTTCCCAAATAACCTTGTTTGTGGGAAACCAGGGGGAAATGCAGTAGTTGCAAAGGATCCCTGACCAAATAATAGACTCAAGAGTAAAAAGCCTCGTGGTTAAACTCCTGCAAAAATCCCCAATCCAATATTATCCTGTAACGCACAGTTTCAGGCTGAATGGCGCCCGCGTGTTCGAGTATTGAATTGTTGGAAACGTCACATCATGTACAACCCACTGTGGTCGTCATTTACAACTAAACATCAGTGTAAGCTGTTCAGGTGAAAAATCGAGATAATGATGCGGAGTTTGGCTTTGGGAGGACGGCTCACACATTGGATATGGTGGTGTGTGTGTGTGTGTGTGTGTGTGTGTGTGTGCGTGTGTGTGTGTGCGCGTGGTGCCCGGGAGATGGAGAGAGGCTTGTAGTTTAAAATGCGATGTGACAGCTCAGGAAAAGGAGGGGGGGTGATAAAGGCGCTGTTATTGGATCAATCTGGCCCTGAATGCCCCTGTAAAACACTTACACGCACATGATGCGGGAGCGAGTGAGCGCGCACGCACGCACGCACGCACGCACGAGTGAGAAGACAGGAGACGAGACGCGGAGAAAAAGGAATAAAAAAAAGAGTGATGGGTTCCTAAAGTTAGAAGAAAACGTGTTTTCTCATAAGAAAATATAGAGCCTGAAACATGCAGGTTTATATTTTCTGAGATTTTAATGGAGTCGGCCTATCAATCACTTGGCTGTTTCCACGCGCCGGCTTAGCCTCGTCCTCATTGTTTTGACAGGGCTGAATTAAAGGAGCGCGCCAGGTGTAATTAGCGATCGATCCAGAAAGAAAGGAAGAAAAAAAAAAAAAAAAACGGTTCTCTATTTTCTCTTTTATTTATTTTTTTTTTTCTTCCTTCCTCGTGCTCTGCCTTCCGTTACTCCATTAACCGCGTCTCTGACGTCACAGGGCGATTAACGTTTCTTATTGGTCCCGCGAGCAGATGGAGGAGTCCTAATGAGCTGGCTCGCGGAGAGAAAGAGCAGGGTTGACATCTCGGCTGGACCGTAAACGTGAAATACCTCGTAGAGCCCTGGTCTCCGCCGCCTCACTATACAGACCGTACCGTGGCCGCGGGAGACGGCCGTCTGCCTGGGTTCCCTTCTCTCCCCCCTCCGCCTTCACCTCCTCTTCCTCCTCGCAGCTTCTTCCTCCTCTCCCTGACTTTTTTTGGGTTTTTTTTTGACTGCATGTTCAGCCACACTGCCTCCGTCTGCATCTTCACTTCGGCCCCGCCGCAGCCCGGGCGAGCATGGACAGTCGGGTACTCGAGCATCCTCACGCCCAGTTCGGAGGCTCCTTGGGCGGGCTGGTGGGCTTCCCGTACACGCTCGGTCCCCATCACCACCACCACCACCATCACCAGCACGTCTACGAGCTCGCCAGCGGGCACCAGCTGCAGTCCGCTGCCGCCGTCCCCTTCTCTATAGACGGATTACTTAACGGCTCCTGCTCGGCCTCGGTGGTCAGCTCCAACCCGCTGCTCTCGTCCGACAGCCAGCAGTTCAAACTCTCAGGTAGGCCTGGCTCTTTTTTTGTGTGTAAGGTCCCATGAATGCACCTGTGTGGAAACAATGCATGCTAACAGGAGATGTAAGAAATGTAAGCGGCTTGTTTTATGGGCTAAATAAGGCAATGTTTAGTGGACTTTGGGGTTAAATTGAACATTGTTTTTAACCTTCGAGGACAGATTTTAGTCATTTTAAGGCAATCTGCAGAGAAAAACATGTTTTTAAAAAAGTTTGGGAGCTTGGTGAATTTAAAAAGAAATGGAGAAAAGTTTATGTGCAGCCTCATTTTAAATATTTTTACTGTGAGAAAAAAAACAACAAAAAAAAAACAACTGCAGTGGAGATTAAAATAAAGGTAAGAGCTGATTTTTGGGTGATGGTTAAAACTGAATTTTGCAATTATTTGGGAATGCTTTTAAATATCATATAAAGCATTAAATGTGTTTCCTTTAGGCTCACGTGTTGGGACAGGATTTATTAGAGTTCACGAGCAGCAAAACATTTCTAAAGATCGGTGTGACAGCGGTCGGCTTTTACACTAAACTGGTGTTTTAAAAGCCAAATTCTGCCATGACAGTCTCTCCTCTTTCTCACTCACACACACACATACACGCACTCACACACACACACTTGTACAAACACACACACACGTCGATCAATGCAGATTCTGGGGACCCGGATAAGGACAGTCCCGGTTGTAAACGGAGACGCACGCGGACGAATTTCACCGGGTGGCAACTGGAGGAGCTCGAGAAGGCTTTCAACGAGAGTCACTATCCGGATGTGTTCATGCGGGAGGCGCTCGCGCTCAGGCTTGACCTCGTGGAGTCCAGGGTTCAGGTAAAGACACGAAGCAATTAGTCAAATATTTCGAGGAGCGTTAATTCATTTACGGGCTGGGAGGAGGAACAGAGAGCTTTGAGTTATTGTTCTGATGTTTTTTTTAAATCTTACTTCCATGTCAATGTCTAAAAAAACATACAAAGAAAAATAATAAAGGAAAATGTCAGAGGGGCGTTTGTTTTGTGCTGCCCATGAAGGCCTGCCCCAAACTGAGGTAGCTATTTGTCAATTATCAAAGCATCAATAAAGGGTCTCTTTTGAATTATGCATGGAGGCAACCTATTGATTTATGGGTTAATAAAAACAAGGCTATTTACTGAGCAAACCAAGGAGTGACAATGGTAACCAGTATTCTTCCTTCACCTTCAGTTTTTTAATATGTAGGCTAATTATTCAACAGTTTATTCCCAATTCTACCCTTTCTTAATCTAGGCTATACTTGGTGGTTCAACTCAAGGTTTAACATGATAATAATAAATAATTATTATCCTAGTATTCATTTTAGGCTATTATTATTATTATTATTATTATTATTATTATTATCATCATCAATATTATTAGGATTATTACACAGATAAAGACAAAATACATAACGTGATAGTACAAATACGATATTTTAGGATTATGCTATTTTATAGTGCCAGTAATATACACTACACAATTTACAATAATAATAATGATAATAATAATAATTATAATGATAATAACCAATACTAAGAAGGAGATTAATAATGACTAACAATACTCACGAGCTTAGTTAGGGTGATATATTTTTTAATAAATTACTTTTAAAGAATAAAAATACTACATTTTATTAAAGGTTTATAAAAGGGAATTTCACGATTAGAGGTTTAGTTAATTTGATAATAATAGCCTAATAGTAGTCCATAATAGCAATAATGATAATAATAGACAGACATAGGTTTAGTAGCTACGTATTATTTGCACAGTATTTTAAATCTGTGTATCCATTTATGATATTCTATGTGATTTAACGTATATTCATGTATTTCCAAATGAGCCACATATAATTCTCATGCATGGTTTGATGGAGAGAAATCGGGACAGAGGCAGAGCTCGCCGTTGCTGTATGTTGTTTGGGGATTTCGCTCCTAAACCTCAGATTATTGTTCCCTCAAGCTGCTTAACGCTCCTTTATCGCCAGGTTTGCGGGGGAAAGATATAACCAACATTAACAATTCATAAGAAGCGCTATTGTCACACATGATGTTGGTGTCCCGTACTTATTATGCAATGTTCCCAGATCCTACTTCTGCATGCTAAACTCCTGGCGTTATCAGCGCCGAACACACGGCCCTGAGCGCGCCCAGAGGCCGGGCAGTGAGAGCTCTCAGGCGGGGGAAGCTGCCTCTCTTGGCTCGGTGCGGAGGGAGGAGAGCCGGGGATTGCCGTGCTAAGTGTTAAGCCCCATATGAGCGTTGGGCTGGGTGTGAAAGAATATATAGGGACGGGATATGGCTGATTTAGCTACGGTACAATTAAATGTAATTGGCGGAGTTGCCCATTACACAGACTCATTGGTAATTAACACCGGCACATGTGTGCATCTGCTGGTCCACCTCTGTGACCCATTAACCTAATGAAGTCTTTAGATGTTTAAAGCTACAGTAAACATAGACACAGACCAGCAGAAGGACAGGGGACAAAGGTTGCACTTGTGTCAGGGCTTTGTGGAAATTATTTGAATTTGTAGACAACATGGTTTTGTTCTTACCATCTGATAACCACTTTGACACTGATTTATTGCCATGGCAGGTGTGAGGTCTGTTGTCTGAGGTCATCTAAATACACACCAGAAGTGACATTTTGTACCCTGTTTACACTGCTTTCAGTGTATTTAATTTTTTTAATTAATAAATCATAAGGAGCATCTTAATCCAAGAAAATTACCCAAAATACACAAACTCCTCAAATCCTTGTACAGATTTAAATCAAATCATCTTAGATACAGTTATGGACATATATATATATATATATATAGCCTATAGAGAGAGAGTCCATACAGGAGGTCTTTATTAAAGGGATTCTGGACTGGATACCAAATTCTGGAGGTGTTCATGTTAATGGCGATCAAGATGTGATCCCGCCTAAAATAAATGAAAGCACTGTTGTATAAAACTTGTACAATTAATATTACTTGTATAATTAATTGATCCACTGTTTTTATGATTATTTAGTGTGTAAAGTGTCAGAAAATATGGTCACATACCTATCACAATTCCCCAGAGATGTTTGAGTGTTTTTGTCCAACCAACTGTCCAAACACAAAGATATTTGATTTAAATTGATACAAATTAGAAAAAAGCAGTAAATTATCACATTAAAATGCCTAAAACAAAGCAAATGTCTGACATTTGTCTTTAAATGTTTCTTATAAATGACTTAAATTATTCAATTGTTATTAAAATTGTTACATTAAAATGATAAATGATCAGGTAATCAACTAATCCATTAATTAAGTCAATTCAACCCAACAAAACAAATTGATTCGAATACTCTGAAACAATATACAACCTTATAGATTGTGTTTGACAGATGTTGACATGGAAAGAAACTATTTTCAAACTAAAATCATCTCATGTGCCAATTTTCCACCTCTGTATGTGTGTATTTCGTGTGTGTGCACAGGTTTGGTTCCAAAACCGACGTGCGAAATGGAGAAAAAAGGAGAACACAAAGAAAGGACCGGGACGGCCTGCTCACAACTCCCACCCGACCACATGCAGCGGCGAGCCCATGGACCCCGAGGAGATCGCACGCAGGGACCAAGAACGGGCCGAGAAGAAGAAACGAAAACAGGAGAGGAAGCTGCTGAAGTCACAGAACAAACTTCTCGCAGGTGACAGCTTCCACACACCTGGAGGTTCAGAGAGTGACAGCGGGGTCTCCCAGTTCACTGACAGCGAGCAGCAGTCTTCAAGCGTTAATGGGACTATTCACATTGAACTGCCAGCAACAAAGGGCGCAGGAGGACACCAAACTGAATCCAGCTGTGACCAAACACGACACGACTTCAGCCCACTACAAAACCACCAAAACCAAAGAACCACAGGAGAACCGGAGCAGGTTTCTCCAGGCAGCACGCACAGCTCCAGTCCTGGAGGCACGAGGTCCTCTGCCCTGCAGAAACGCAACCCCTTCAGCGTGGAGAGCCTCCTCTCTGACGCCACGCCTCGACGGAAATCTCAGCTGGACTTCCCCTCGTTGCCCAGTCAGAGGACACTTGTGGGTAAAGGTCACTTCTTGCTTTACCCCATTACCCATCAGCCCCTGGGCTTTCTTGTGCCCCAAACAGCCTTGAAGGCCTCACCATGTCAGGACAACAGCATTAACAGGCTCAGCCTGGGACAGAGGTGTGTGTCAAGTGAAGGGAGCCCTGCTCCTTCTGACCTCTCCAGCTTTGTCACTAAGCCTCTAAACTCGGACCATATGGAGCATAACACGCAGCATCACCACAATCACATTAGCAATAGAGTGGATGGAACGGACATGGAGGAGTGTGGTGGTGACTGCAGTAATGGAAGATTTCCTGTTTCCCCTCCACCAAACAGTGTGGCTCAGACGGCTCTGGCCCGGCTGAGCTCCACACAGTCCAGTGACAGTAGCGAGGAGAGGAGTCTGAAAGTTCGAACGGAGGCAGCGACCAACGGCTGCCAAGTTGCCGAGCTGTGTGTAAAAGAGAAGGGTGCAAGAGAGAAGCGAGCGTCTCCAGACCTCTCCGAACGTCTCAAGGCAAACACAGACTGTCAAGAAACACCCGGAACAGATGGAGAGGATGTCGATATGGACTAACACTTGCAAGGAGCAAACATAAACAAAGGACCAGGAACACCGCTCAGACTATTCAAACATTCCCAAAGCTCTGCTGAGACACTCTAAAACATATCAGGAATCAGGAGACTTAATTCTCATCTATTTTTTAATCATAATGTGTGATCAATCCAGATGGCCTCCGAAAGCTGTGGCTGTCCTCATATTCAGGCTTTAGGCCTCAAACACCTTTTAGAAGCAGGTTCTTTCTCTCTCTTTTGGTGACCAACTTGTAACAAAAACTAGGCTACAATAAAACATCTTACACACAACAAAAATCCTCAGATATTGTAAAAACGAGAAAATGATATTTATATGTAAACATTTTGATAAATAAAGTTATTGTTTAAATTGAATCACTGTCTTTCTAGGGCCACGTTGAAGGGGTGGAGGGGTGGGGATGTAAAGAAAAAGGAAGGTTGCTGTGTGGCAGAACCCTGGATCATGGCGGCTGGAGTTTTGTCGTGTTACAGCAGATAAATCCCCCTTTTTTCTCTGTGTAGTGAGCCGGAGCTGGGGCTCAAGTCCGTCTGGCTGTTTGTATTTATTGCTTTAACAAATTTATTCATTTGAAAGGCCGAGCTGGAATGAGGTTAGTGGCCGCGGGCTATAGGACCCTGCGCCTCCTGCTGAGTTTTGATATGAAAGTAATTATTTTCCCACTGGCTGCCGCGGGTCTGGAGGCAGTTTTTTTCCCCTCCTTTTCAGCCCAAAGGGTTATTAGACATTACCGATTTCTAGTGATATGGAATCACATAAACTTCCTACAATAATAGAATTAGCATGAAAGGCAGGGGTGTCAAATTGAAATGGGAAAATAATAGCCGCGCCAGCTGCAGCGTGTATGTGTGCGTGTTTGCAGGCGGTGCGCGCGTGTGCGTGAGTGTGCATAGTCTATTGAGCGCGAGGAGGAGGATGAGATGGTGGTAGATTCGTGGGGCGGAATTTTCATGAGCTGCCTCGGTTGTCAGACGGCCCTTGTAGTCGGCTATATTAAGATAGATGTTCGATGATATCCCTCATTGTTCTGTCGCTTATATTGATGTTGCTGCGTTATCGCCCTATTGATCATGTGTCGCACATAATAGGACAGGCGCGCGCCCGCCTGCCTGCGCCTTTTTACAAAAGCGCCTGGGCCCCTCGTCATTTGTTCTAATAGGACTGCGAGTCCCCCTGGGGGTGGGGGGGGGGACAGATAAAGATATAAGAGAGAGGAAGAGGGAGAGAGGAGGCGTGTGATGTGCCAGGCTTGCATTAATACTTTTTTGACCAATTGTTGGCTGAGTTTAAGAAAAAAAGTTACAAGGGAGAAAGTGAAGAATGGCTGAATTAGAGATGTTTAGGGACAGAAGAGAAGACAGATTCTCCTAAATGCGCATGCGCATGTGTGTGTGTGTGTGTGCCCACGTGCACCGCGCCGGTTTAGGAAAGAGTGTGTTTAGCTTATGAAGTGTAAACGCCACCAATTCCCTGGAAACTGAAATCCCAATTATTAAAACCATTAATTCTGGCGAGCCTGTGCACGGAGGAGCCGTGTTGACAGCCCGGCTAAATATCCCTGATCCCTCCCGGTCACCTCGCCTTTATTTGCAAATAAATTGAGGGGGATCCGAGGGACAGAGCTTTACTTTGCTGCGCCGACCTAAAATGAATTTCCGTGCCTGAGTCCCTTTAATAATATTTACATAATTTTCGCTCAGTGACTCTGCTATTTGCGCTGTAGGAAGCGGGGGGCTTATAGGAAAATAATTAGACAAGAGGACGAGGAGGGAGAGAGAGAGTGAAAAACAGCAGGAGGAGGATGGGTTAAGACCGAAGCTGAACACTAAATTCCCAGACAGCTAAAATCAATGAAAGTAATAACCCTATTATTTAATTCATAAGGACATTATTTTCCCATAAGGCCTCAGGAAACGTCCCCTTCGACCGAAACAATCACATTAAATCGTTCATTCCGCGTGTGCTGTGTGAAATTTCTACTTTTATTCTCTTTTTTTTTTTTGGATGGGGGGGGAGAAACGCTTTATTATAATCGGTTAGTTTCAAGAGTGCGATTAATTAGAAAATATAGGTTTGATCTCCCTTCAGCGAGGCCTTGTGTGTGTAGTGTGAGAGCATGTGTGCAGAGACACTGCGAGCCTCTAAAATGCGCCTCTCTCTTTTTTTTTTTGTGCAAATAATTAAAGGAATAAACTGCAGAATAACAGGATTGCAATTTCACTGTCCAAAAAACTTTGGACACAGAACAGGCCTCCATATCAGAGGCAACTTATCTGACCCTTCACAAGCACTTTAAGTCGTTTTAAAATCCCAGTTAAGAACAAAACTGTGGATGTGAAAAGGGAAACCATAATATATATGTGTAGCCTGTGTCTTTAGGTATCTCACTATATAAGCTTTGTGTGTTTATTCAGACCTGTGGCTCTATTAAAGGCCCAATAATCATGGCAGTGTAGCCTCTATGTCTGCAGCTCTTTAATTCATTTGGAAATAATGATGATCTCAACCTAAAACTGCTCAAATCCAACAGATTATTGCAGCATAGTGTTAAAACATGTGCTTTTAGTTGCTTTTTAAGAATGTTTTTGGCCTGTTTTAGTTATACTGACTTAAAAATCTATCTATCTATCCATCTATGGTTTAGGGGATATGCTACAACACAACACATTGAGTAAACTTAGAGGGAATGAGGGTGAGTTAGTGGGTGAGCGAGAGAGAGAGAGAGAGAGAGAGAGAGAGAGAGAGAGAGAGAGAGGTGTTTTGATGGCACCAACACAAACGACCAATCGATCACGCCGAGCCTGGACCGGGCTGGCCCTCCCGCTGTGTCCGTGCCGCTCATGCATCACACTTTATGAATTCAATTTCAACCGGGAGAAATTTTCAATTTGAACGCGCGATCATTACGGCGTGGGGGGATAGCGTAAATTGTTTTTGCTCTATTATGCATTCGGACGCCATCATTTTTCTTTCTAATTACCGAGGTGTCAGAGCGGCCTGTCACCCGGGCGCTGATTTTCAATTTAACTGATCATCATACATTCATTTTCCCATTTGATAAATCTGCTATCTAGACGCGCCCGCCATGCCCGGAATATTAAGCGGCGCTGGGGCGCAGTAATAGGGGGATGTGTATGCGGCAATGAGCGCGGATCAGCCAGCTAATTTAGCACCTTCCACATTCCCCGTCTCCATCCCCCCATTTCCAATTCTCAAGAGGAGGCAAGAAGAAGAAGAAAAAAAAAAACAGGAGAGGACAGGAGAGGAGAGAGTCCAATGGCTGCTCAACCTCCAAGAGTGGAGGAAAAAAAAAAAACACCCTGAGGTTAGAAAGAATCAGAAGAAGAGAAAGTCCTCCAATCCGCCTTTTTTTTTTCTTTCTGACGCAATTTAGAAGCAGGATTAATTAACGCTAATTGAGTTCTTCAATACGTGTTATTCTTATTTAATAGAAACAAATTTGCACAATTAATTATCAAAGTAATTTCAAGAACCTATTACAACCCAAACCCCCCCCCTCCCTCTCCTCCACCTCCACCTCCTCTCTGACTCTCCATCACCTCCCTTCCTCCGCAGCGGAGTAAATTAGCAGCTTTTGTCATTAGGTTTGGGTCTTTGATCCGGAGTGAATGGGCCTGCAGCCAGCACCAGACTCCGAGGATCCTCTGATACACCTGCTCGATTTAGGAACCGGTGATATACTGATATATGCTGGACCTTAACCCATCCAACAGACAACACATGATCCTAAGGTGATTTATAAGAGCCATTCGGTCTATGGTGCACATGGGCTAATAGTATATTCCATCTTATTCAGTGTCAAACATTTACTTAAAAAACCCTTTTGTTGTTTAAACCGTCCTAATGAAAATGTATACAACTTAAAAAATACTCCAGGTCTACTTTTTCATTAGCTACAACTGTAAATCAGACAATATTTCCAGGGTCAAGGATGAACTTTAACACTTTAAGGCACTTTAATATCAATATTGAATAGAAGCAGCTGATCACCAAACTTTAGCAAATCAATTTACACTTCTATCAATCTACACGCTGAAGAGAAGCTTAATTTTGTAAAAACTAATTAAAAGTATTAGAGGAGGAATCATGTCTCTTTCCAGTATGAAATGTTTATTTCTAGTTCTGTGAGCTCCTGGAGACTCTTGCTTTATCGCCTTCATATGACTTATACCAATTTTATGAGAACTGCTTAGAAACCTGATTTTAACCCACATTTTTTTTGGAAATCACCTGGTGAAAATGTCACATTACTTCCGTCTAGAGTCTTAGAGACTCCAGTTGTTGGTGTTGACAGTACTGTATCCTAAATAAGTCTGTATTTTTGTATACTGGAGTTTTTTTAGGCTACAGGAGTTATCTCTCTGGGGTATAATTGAACCTGAAAATAAGTAACAGCACACTGCACATTTCATTATCTGTGATTGAAAGACTTTTTAGCAAACAAATATATATATTTCTTCATATATAGCTTATATAACATAAAAATATTCATTTATTTGTTTCTTATTAGGTGTTATAACAAGGCTTTGTGGTCATTTTTCATGTCCCCTTTAATTGCCCAGTTTGGTGAAAAGAGAAGGGGTTACCACTTTTTAATATTTTTTTATTGGTTTTAATAATTGTAGTTTATTAGTTATAATATATTTGTTTTTTTAATCTTTGGTGTTTTAGATGCTGACCGACACACACACACACACACACACACACACACACACACACACACACACATAAGCCCACCTTGTTAAAATGCCAATAAGTACAGTCGGAAGCAGAGTGTGTGTTATAGTGTAATGAACGTTTATGGGCACAAAGCAGCTTTGGTTTTGTCGTGTTCTTTGTTTCATTAGCCCAGTGGTTGTAATAAATGCCAACGAGCCAACGGGATAGATTTTAATTAAGTCAGTGAGAGATGAGTGGAGTGACACAGAAAGCGGGGCAGGGCGGGGAGATGGAGGTGGAGGTGGAGGAGGGAGGGAGGGGGGGGGACAGCTTTTCAATAAATCGGTTCGCTCAGGGGTTAGTCGGTGATTTCCTCGGCAAAGTGTTGGGGCCGAGCAGGACTCGCAGTAATTTGGTTGATAAATCAGCGGCGTTAGGGGCACGAAGCTTGCCGCTCGACCGGTTGGTTCTGCGTGTGATTTATGTGTTACCCGGGGGTCGTACACAAGCCCATGACAGTCCAGGATGAATTAACCAGGAGCCGGCGCGCTCCTAATGAGCGGGTATTATTTCGCACACACCTCTCCTGGAATAAAAAAAAAAAAAAAAGTGTGAAGAACGAACCTGGCATACGACCCTCCCCTCTCCTCTCCTCCCTCACCCCATCTCTCCCCTT